TCCAGTATATATACCGCCATTTGTAAACGCGATAACTTTCAGATAAACCAATTCATTTACACGTATTGGGATTTTTTTTTTTTTTATAGCAAAGACGTCGCAGATTACGTTTTATCCTAAATTTTAGGACGAAATTTTATTTTTAAAAATTTTTTATTGGACATGTTTAATAGCAAAATGTCAAAAATATACTTTTTCTCAAAATGGTCGGTCTTTTTTTGTTATAGTGCAAAAAATAAAAAATGCACAGGCGACCAAATACCACAGAATGAAAGCTCCATTTGTGGGGAAAAAAAAGGATGTACATTTCATTTTGCAGTGTTGCAGACCGCGCAATCGTCAGTTAAGTTAATGCAGCGCCGTATCGCAAAAAATAGCCTGGTCAGGAAGTGGGGTAAATCCTCTGGAGGGCAAATGGTTAATAACATTATTATTATTATACAGTATTTATAAAGCGCCAATAGTTTGCTCAGCGCTGTACATTACAAAGGGGGACAGAACATGTGACAGAACAATACCAATACAATACAAAACATGAGGGGATTGAGGACCCTGCTCTTTCGAGCTTACAATCTAGTAGGTTTAAGTTGTTTTGTTTCTTCGTCCTGATGAAGTCAAACAGCCAACATCCTGAAGTATGTTGGCTGTTTGACTTCTTGTCAGCAAAAAATAAAATTTTACTGGACTCATTCATCGTTGTATAATAATAATAATAATAATGTTTATTGTGGTGCTTTCATCCTTTTAATGAGGCTAGACTACTCCAGGGACCCTCTGGAACACCCCTGTTGACAGAGAGCGGTCTCTAATAGCAGAATCCTTATAAGACACACCTGCCATTGGTTCCGTGCTTCTCCAACAAATATCTTGTTGAAATAAAAACAAGAATTCATATACGGATTACTTTTATTTCATGTATGAACTGTACACACTTACCATAAATCTATGTTCCTTTAAATTAACACTGCCAGGTTGATCTGCTTCAAGAGATTTTTTTTAATAACCTTTTTTTTTTGTAGTTGAAATACCAGAGATCTTTAGGACTTAAAACACTGTTGAAGCAATGATGGCCAGCTCTTGCCTGCCTACATTTCCCACAACTAAGCAGAAAAAACAGAGTCCCTGCAAATCATCTAATAGAGCATATAATTCTGTATTTTCCTGTACAAACACACATCTCAGCTCCTTTAAACACTATAAATCCCATTGAACGCCACTCTCCTATTATATCCTCTCTAAAGAGAGTCACTGGAAGTTCAAGTAAACACTGTAAAAGCAAACCTTAAAGATTTAAAGTGTTTTCTAGCCCGAGGAATGTGGTGGAGTGTGAGAGTACCAAGAAGGCATGCACAAGAGGCAGCCATATTGTGAGGGCTAGCATGAAAAAAAACAAAATCAATCTGGTAGTAATAGCATGGTTGTCTGAGCTTAAAGAGACACAAACAAAATCCTTATTCTCTCAAACCTCTTCTTTTTCTCTTCACTTTCATTTGTTTGGAACGAGCACTGCAAGTGCACTGCACTATGTACACAACACAGCCCACAACGGGAGTGAATGCGAGACAGTGGATTAATTCCTACTTACAGTGGGGGCCATGGAGAACAAATGGTAGCCACCCTAAAAAAAGGAAGTCAGATTACAGCAGCAAAAAAAAAAAAAGGAATTTGGGGATTTGGAGGAAGCAGACAGCACCAGAAGGTGCTTTTCTCAGCTAAAGGATAAGTTCACCTTTAGAACATATTACATGTGCCACCCAGGGGCAGACTGACCATTTGGAAACTCAGTAGGGGGCCCCATGAGATGTTCCTGGTACCTTTTTCATAGGCTTTTTTGAGTTTGAGCAAGGACACAGGGGCCCCATGAGTTGTCAGTCCACCCCTGGTTCCACCAGTATTCAAGGTGTAACGTGCCAGCTCGTGCATCCTGTCCCTCCGATCCCCCTATACATGACAGTTCTGGGTCTTCTGCTGACATTGCTTTGAAGATGGCAGCACCCAGCAACAGTCTACATTAAATGCATATATAATTAAATGGAAAGATTTTTTGTTGAAATAATTGGTCTGGCAACAGAGACTTGTGTGTATATAAAGCCAAACTTATTTTGGGGATTTTGGACAATGGGGTGGGGGATCAGTTCCCATCAGCTATATAGATAGCCATCACATCACAAATATGAACTTCAAAGATCCAGGTTTACTAGGGTTCGATTTTAAGGTGCATAGAAACAAAGTGCAAAAAAGGTGCAAGATAAGACACATCTATCTACTAATGCTAGGGTGGATTGGAGCGAAAAGGTTTTATTGTTGTTTGTGTTCCCACTGGGGAGATTCACCCTCTCTATGCATTGGGTGGATTGGAATGAATAGGGTTTTATTGCTCTCTGTGTCTCTGTTGGGGACAGGGGCAGACTGACCATTTGAAAATTCGGGCACTACCTGTGGTCAGTAGGGGGCCCAATGAAATGCCCCTGGTACCTTTTATAGGCTTTTTTTTGAGTGTGGGCAAGGACACAGGGGGCCCATGATCCCCTATTGCTCGGGGGCCCCATGAGTTGTCAGTACACCCCTGGTTGGGGAAATTCACCCTCTCCCTGTGAAGGGGATATCAACATGTCATAGCTGTCACCCAAACAGTATGTGAAAGGGGACACCAGCTCCAGTGACAGTTGTCCATTGGCTTCTTTTTGCATGTTTACCTGTTTACAGAGCTCAGTACCACAAACACAAAATTTACAGTCATGAATGAACAAGTGACCACTCCCTTTTTGCTGTGCGCAGTTGACACCTTGTTACATCAGTGGAATGAATACCTAGTTTTTCAATGTTCATTTGTAAAATAAAGATTTAATGCACAGACAATTTAAAAAAAAAAATCTGCTTTAAGAAAAAACTTTAGAAAAACTGACTCAAAACTAATATAGTAAGTCAACTAATGGGTCGACTAATGGATCGACTTGGGTATAATCAGCATGCCCATACATGGTTCAAATCTCGGCTGGCTTTTGATGAACTGGCCGAGATTCAAAACATTTATGGCAGGCTTTGATTTTTTGCTATTAAACATGTCCAATAAAAAATGTAAAAAATCTTCAATGTAGACTCACTGTGCTCTCACAAAGGTCTCACGTCAGGTCAGCAGAGGTTCCCTTCTACCCCCCTTTCCTTCCCCAGGCTCCAGCACAGGTTCCCCCCCCTGTCATCGCCCCTGTCATTGGTTGCTAGAACCACTATGACTGTGATGGGGCCTCTGATGTAAAAGGAAACTCTAATATAAGGGGAACTCTGATGGGGACAATGATATAAGGGAGGTTCCAAAGGGGGCCCTAATGTAAGGGCGGGCTGTGATACAAGGAGCAGTTAGCAAAAGAAAAATGGTCCAAAATTTCAGTAGAGAGGTGTAAGAAAATCATTGATAGTTACAGGAAGTGATTGATTTCAGTTATTTTTTCCAAGCAGTGTGTTACCTTACAGGAAAAAATCAGTTATTTTTTCCAAGCAGTGTGTTACCAAATATTAAATTGAAGATGTAAAAAATTTAGTCCACTCCATATTTGGGGTTTTGTGTGGAATGTGTCAGATTTGGCTTTTTGTTTCTCCACTTTTTGTGTCATACCAATAAAAACAAAGGAAATACCCATGAATATACCTAAACATTTGTATTTGCACCAAATTTCTGGGAAAAGTGGTAATTATCTGAAAGAAATGCATGGGGGGGCCAATATTTTTAACCATGTCTGTATGTACACCATTAGTATACGGAACGCCTCCAAAAATGTTAATTCCTGCTTGTGCGATTGGCTCACTGATTTTCCCAGAAATCTGCACTAAGATGCAAATCAGATTTTAGGCATCTGCTGCATAAGACATTTCATTCTTGGTGAGATACTACCCAAGGATTAAATTGGAATTCCAGTTATGGATGTTTAGTTACATTGGTCCTCATCCCGGGGAAGCTGGATATCCCTGAAAAAGATTACTCCAGTGATCTCCACTTGTTTCTTGGTCCTGTGCTGAATGACTGGCCTGCAGTATACTGAACAAACAATGGTTGGCTTTTTGGCACAGGTGCCATTCAGAGAATGCTTTGCATTTTCTGAATGAATTCAAAGTGTCCTCTGATTGGACAAGGTGGAGCGGCGGGGATGGAGGTGTCATGTTGCCCACCAAATTCAATTACAGAATGCTTTGCATTTGTTCTGAAAATGCAAAAGCATTCTAAATTTGTTTATTTTTAAACACTTTTAAAGGGATGCGGACGCTGCAACTTTTCTCTTCAGAACACTGAGAGCAAACCAAGTTGAGTATAAACAAGCAGACCCTCCCATTCAGTATCAGAACCCAAAGGACATGGTAAAACACACAGTTACTTCTTCAGAGCAGAAAAGAGTAGGGACTCTGCAGCAACGTTTGTTAAAATCCTTGAGATGTACATAGATCACCCAGGAGAGAATTTTTGTTTTTGCAACAAAACTGGAGTGGTTCTTTAATTCTGACGTGGCAAGGAAGAGAAGTGAGGCAGCCAAAATTTCATCGATTACTTCCTGATTCGCATGACAGGCATGGCAACATCAAACAGTAAAGGCCTGAAAAAGTAATGTGTTCTAACTGAAGTTGCTTCCCCCACAGGTACCAATAAGATTCAAACCTGTCTGGTGGCTGCGGGTAAATGAGTGTTAAGTGAACATTTTCTTTAACCTCTTATTGCCCATGTAACGCATATGTGTGGCGGCAAGGAGGGTGGGCTTTAATGCCCACACGCCACACATATGCGTCAACGGGCAACAGAGGTTTCTGTGCTGAGAGCGGGCACACCAAGTGCTCCCTGCACAGACACCGGCCTGTCATTGACAGTTCTCCATCTATGCCAATGATCCGAAATCGATGGGACTGACTCCAGATCATGCGAGCACACAATCACTGTTGTCACATGATTAGGCAGACATTCCTGCAACCCCGGCGTAATAGCCCAATTACAAGGATGTCAGGGTGGGTGGGAAGGGGTTTATACCCCACTTAAAATGATTCTCTGGTGCTTTCAGTTACCTGATGATCCTCTGCGCAGCATACTGGTGGAGGGAGCGGAATTGAGCAGACATGTTGGCCAGCGCTGCCAAGCAGTTGGTGTGAAGGTACTTGTCCTGTAAAGTGAACAAGATATATCTTTATTAGAACACAAGACATAAGGCGAGCGCAGATAATATGGTAGCTGCTAGCACAAAAGGCAAGGAAACAAACCCACAGTAATCCATTCAAATGTAAGTGCAGAGCTAAAGCATAAGGGACAAATGCTTTTTGTATAGAAAGTATAGCGAGCGCTAGGGGGGCTACAGCACATGGACATCTAGCCACCACACGTGGCCAACTATTACATATGGTCAGTAACACTTTTTATTTTGCCTTATCTTGACAAATAAACTTGTGTCAAAACAACATCACACTATGTGACGTCCCTTATTGGGCTCTCTTTGAGAGCACCATCTCCCACAGTGCCTGGTTGGACCAAGGAGAATTCTGATGCCCATACTGTTTGATGAACCCTGGTAACTGTTGATTATGGTGAGACAGAGGATGATGTAGAGTGCGACCTGACCAGAACCTTGATGACCGAGATGTTTTGAAGAATTTATCTCTCTACATGCGTATTTTATACGCACTTCTGGTGAGTGCGCATTCTATTTGTTTCAAGGATCTTTACCTCCGGATTGCACAACATTCTATTTATTCCCTATAGCAATTGACATGGGAATTTGGACAATTGTGTGCTTTGATATCAATAACTGAATAGCGCATCGTGTACTATTGCATTCTATTTCGTTTTTTTTTTTTTTTTTTTGTCTGCCTTTATATATACGCTTAGGACATTTGAATAGAGTACTCATTTTATGTTTTCTAATTCAAGCGCTGCACCGATTCCTGCAATGCAATCATAGAGTGCTTGTGTGAATAGAAGTGTTCATACAATAAAACCGTCTCAGATCATATAGAATCACAAAAAAACTCTAAAAATCTGAATGTAAATAGTAAAACTATTTATGTTCAGATTTTTAGAGTTTTTTTACAATTCTATGATTTTATATGATCTGAGACGTTTTTATTGTATGAACACTTCTATTCACACAAGCACTCTATGATTGCATTTGTCCCTTATGCTTTAGCACTGCACTGACATGTGAATATATCTTTATTATTCATATTGATCACAGATAGCCCATCACAATTATCTCACTGAAACATTATCAACAAATTTGATCAAAGTCTGACTCCTCCTGCTGCAACCAAAGATCAGAGCAGTGTAATACGTAGTGAGTTCTGTGTAGTTATTCATAGGAATTTTGTATGTAAACTCAGTCGCTCAAATCTCAATCTAAAGACAAGTTGTAGCGGAACCGGACCCCGACTGCACTAGGGTACTTCCGTTAGACTCCCGCTTTCCTGTCCGAACACAGAACCACGGACACCACCGCTGACCATACAAGACGAGACAGCATCAGACTTGTATTAAAACAGGAAATGGGCTGCTTTATTTTAACAAAGACACAAGATATATACATTCAAGGGAACAACCCACCTCCCTGCATAATGACACAGGGCGGGGCAAACCAAAACTAGTAACAAGAGACACACAGCTGACACCCCCCACCAAGCCAATACACATAAACACATACATCCCATAATAGTTTGCTTGCAAGCAAGACACAATAGAACAATGGGACCACTTGGCAGTAAACAACGAACAACCCCCCCACCTATGCATGTCTACACAATATCAGGACATTCCACCCTGTACCCCTAACAGGTACAGGGTGACTTAGACATAATAGGGATATGGGGAGCTGAGACAGGAGTCTCCCCACCTCTCCAAAGTGAGCTGTGTTCCATGGGACCCCCACCCAAAGTGACAAGTTAATGTCATTTCAAAAGTAATATTGTACATTTTTTAAAATCTGCAGCAAACATTCAAATACCCTATTCCATCATGGAGGTCCTTGATCAGGCACTTCTTGTTATAGGGTGACAACAAAATCTTCCAACAGTGCTCCTGTGTTGTCACCCTTCCAAATGGGATTCTATACAGATATTGCCCACTGTTGTCACCCTGAGTTATGGCATGCAGCCATCACCGAACTGCATGTAGACAGGAAATGACTGCAAAGTAGCTACAGGAGATCAGCAGCACGAAGATAAAACAAAGGATAAAGAAAAAGTGAAAACAAGTATTTTATTAAAAACAAAAAGGGCGTTCTTTATGATACCCAGCGACTTAGCACACTAAAGGACGTTCACTTAGGGTGCTTTTTAATGGAAAGCAACACTCAGTTGCTGTTAATATATACGTCATTATTTTCTTCATAGTAAAAGAATTGGCATGCCTAGTGACAGAGTGCTTAGTTTGTGTTCCTGATCAGTAATCAGGAAAATGGAGTCCGCTGGAAAGACCAGCTCAAAGGTTCCTGAACAGACACACAGACGCTCTACGCAGTTCGTGGAAATGCTACAAATGAGATGCAGAAAGACCTCGTCTTTTATTTACCAACGCCGGGAACCTACACATGACCCCTCTGAGTATAATTTACTGGGCATAACCTTGTTACAGATTAGGTAATGTGGTCACGTAGTAACTCAAGCTATTACAATTAATTTTCATTTGAGGAATTTAATCTGAAACCTGGAATCGGGCGTCAAGGATTTTACTTTTAATTAAATATGTGCGGAAAGTTGATGTCACTCCGAATACTGACTCCAGCGAGATGTTGGCTGTGACTGCTGGCATCGCCCGAACTCCGAAACCCGAGCCTCTCGAAACGAGCAACCCACATTAGTCACGGTGGAATATTTAGACAACAACGCGCATAAAACCCACATCACCAACTCTTCATAAAACACACCAATGGTTGTGAAGTGCAAGGCTCTGTTTACACTGAATGTGTAGTCTTTGCAGATATCTTGTTTAGACAAATGTATCTTGCTCTAAAACTTCTGTGTATTTAGGGCTCGGTCACACTTGACTTTATTCCAAACTCTTGCCAAACGCCCCTATAGTGTTTGACAGGAATTAGACGGGCGTTAGGGAAGCGTTTTTTAACGCTCCTCAAACGCTACCCAAACGCCCTATGCGTGGTTTTTTGAGGCGTTTGCCAAGCGTTAAAACCGCACCACAAAACGCCTATAATGAAGTTACCGTATTTTTCGCTCCATAAGAAGCACTTTTTTCCCCCCAAAAAAGGGGGGAAAATGTCAGTGCATCTTATGGAGCGAATATAAAGCGGCCGGTCTGGTATTTCCTCCGCCACCATGTCAGAATATCGGGCCGGCCGCTCAGCTGTTCTCTGCGGAAGGAACTCACCTGTTCCTCCGTCCAGCGCTGTAGTCTTCCAGCGCCGGCTTCTTCCCGCCCCGGTATCAGTGACAGCCGGGAGCGAGAAGCGCTGCGCTTTGTGAATGGTCCGGCGTCTTCTGGGACAGATGACAGGTCCCAGGAGACGACGGGGCCATTCACAAAGCGCAGCGCTTCTTCGCGCATGCGCAGTGGGCACCTGGCTGTCAAAGCCGGGAGCCCACAGTATAGGAAGGAGAACTCCGCGGAAGTGGAAGTGTCAAATTCAGGTACCCGCTCCCCCTCCCTCCCTAAAGGTCCGCAGTCTCTGGTCATCTCCTACACTGTGTCCGCAGTCTCTGGTCATCTCCTGTACTGTGTCCGCAGTCTCTGGTCATCTCCTGTACTGTGTCCGCAGTCTCTGGTCATCTCCTGTACTGTGTCCGCAGTCTCTGGTCATCTCCTGTACTGTGTCCGCAGTCTCTGGTCATCTCCTGTACTGTGTCCGCAGTCTCTGGTCATCTCCTGTACTGTGTCCGCAGTCTCTGGTCATCTCCTGTACTGTGTCCGCAGTCTCTGGTCATCTCCTGTACTGTGTCCGCAGTCTCTGGTCATCTCCTGTACTGTGTCCGCAGTCTCTGGTCATCTCCTGTACTGTGTCCGCAGTCTCTGGTCATCTCCTGTACTATGTCCGCAGTCTCTGGTCATCTCCTGTACTTGTGTCCGCAGTCTCTGGTCCATCTCCTGTACTGTGTCCGCAGTCTCTGGTCCATCTCCTGTACTGTGTCCGCAGTCTCTGGTCCATCTCCTGTACTGTGTCCGCAGTCTCTGGTCATCTCCTGTACTGTGTCCGCAGTCTCTGGTCATCTCCTGTACTATGTCCGCAGTCTCTGGTCATCTCCTGTACTATGTCCGCAGTCTCTGGTCATTACCTGTACTGTGTCCGCAGTCTCTGGTCATCTCCTGTACTATATCCGCAGTCTTTGGTCATCTCCTGTACTATGTCTGCAGTCTCTGGTCATCCCCCTCTGTCCGCAGCCTCTGGTCATCTCCTGTACTATGTCCAGAGTGCCTGGTTACTTCCTGTACTATGTCTGCAGTCCATTGTTCAGAATATTTTTTTTGTTTTTCCTCCTCTAAAACCTAGGTGCGTCTTATGGTCAGGTGCGTCTTATGGAGCGAAAAATACGGTAAATGGTATTAACGCTCCGCGAAAGCCTCGCAACTGCGTTGCAACTGCACCGCAATTGCCTGCCAGGCGTTTGAGGAGACTTGAATGAGAGGCTTCAACTTTTCCTGACTCGACATGAGGCGTCAGTTTTGCCGTGACGCAAAGCGACGCGACGCTTCAGTGTGAACAGCACTGTGTGCAAAATTTTTATAGGTGCTTGAGAAGCATTAAAAAGGCTTCCCAAACACCTGCTGACAAAGCTAGTGTGAACGTAGTCTAACAGTGGAACTCTAGGTATGTACTTATTGCATTGTTGTAGGAGTCAAGCTTTGACTAATGTAGGTACGCCCATTTTAAACCTGACGAATCGCTGTGCAAGAGGAGAGTTAGTGTAGTGGGCCCCACTACTACAGTGATCGCTGTGATCTTCTAGGTCTTATGCTGAGTGGCTGCCATTCTGCATAGTGAACACAGGGAATCACTCACTTGGCACTGCCACCACTCACAAAACTCCTTGTATGGTTTTCAATGAATGCAAGACATTCTGTGTTTGGAAGAAGTGGAGTATTGGTGCAAACATGTCACAATTTCCAGCTCATCCAATCTGAATACTGTATGCATTCACTGGAAAAAAAAAAAAAAAAAAAGTTTACTAGGCATAAGGGAGACTCGTGTCACAGGATCCAGAAGCCTGCGGCAATCACTTTAGTAGCAGCAAATACTGCAATCTTTTAAGCCCTGTGCCAAGCAGTGGCCCTTCTGTGTAGTGAACACTCTGAAGTCACTTGCTCAGCACTGCCGCCATTCACGAAACACCATTATTTATTTCAGGTACTTATATAGTGCCATCAATTTACGCATCGCTTTACATATATATTGTACATTCACATCAGTCCCTAACCCTCAAGGGGCGTACAATCCAAGGTCCCTAACTCACATTCATACATACACATACTAGGGGCAATTTAGACAGGACCAATTAACCTCCCAGCATGTCTTTGGACTGTGGGAGGAAACCAGAGTACCCGGGAAGAAACACACGCAGGCACAGGGAGAACATGCAAACTCCAAATCAAAACATGAAGAAAAATATATCAAATTTGTGTTGTTCCTCTAAAACAATTGAAGGAAAGTGAATATTAGACGGTTCAAAAAAATAGCAGGGTTTGTATTCTTCTCTACAAACTCAAACATTCACTATATAAACTGAGAAATGTTTGAAGATTTTGCTTTCCTTTGAATGACTTCATGAATATTTGGTTGTAGTCGCACTGTTTCTGAGAACTGCTGTACATCTGTGTTGCATGGAGTCACCCAACGTCTGGCCCCTGTGATCAGGTATTCCAGCCCAGGATGATTGGACAACATTCCACAGTTCTTCTCTACTTCTTGGTTTTGCCTCAGAAACTGCATTTTTGATGTCACCCCACAAGTTTTCTATTGGATTAAGATCCGGGATTGGGCTGGCCACTCCATAACGTCAATCTTGTTAGTCTGGAACCAAGATGTTGCATGTTTACTGGTGTGTTTTTGGGGTCGTTTTTTTTTGTCTTGTTGGAACACCCATTTCAAGGGCATTTCCTCTTCAGCATAAGGCAGCATGACCTCTTCAAGTATTCTGATGTATTCAAACTGATCCATGATCCCTGGTATGCGATAAATAGGCCCAACACCGTAGTATGAGAAACATCCCCATATCATGATGCTTGCGCCACCATGCTTCACTGTCTTCACAGTGTACTGTGGCTTGAATTCAGTGTTTGGGGGTCGTCTGACAAACTGTCTCCACCCACTAGACCCAAAAAGAACAATCTTACTTTCATCAGTCCACAAAATGTTGCGCCATTTCTCTTTAGGCCAGTCAATGTGCTCTTTGGCAGATTGTAACCTTTTCAGCACATGTCTTTTTTTCAACAGTGGCACTTTGCGGGGGCTTCTTGCAGATAGCTTGGCTTCACATAGGTGTCTTCTAATTGTAACAGTCCTCACAGGGAACGTCACACCTTCTTTCATCTTCCTGGAGCTGATTGTTGGCTGAGTCCGCGCCATTTTGGCTATTCTTCTATCCATTCAAATGGTAGTTTTTCGCTTTCTTCCACGTCTTTCAGGTTTTGGTTGCCATTTTAAAGCATTTGCAATCATTTTAGCTGAGCAGCCGATCATTTTCTGCACTTCCTTATATGTTTTCCCCTCTCCAATCAACTTTTTAATCAAGGTACGCTGTTCTTCTGAACAATGACTGGAACGACCCATTTTCCTCAGAATTTCAGAGAGAAATGCACTGTAACCAGCATGTACAACATTTGCTGCCTTCCTTCCTTAAATAAGGGCAATAATTGCCACCTGTTTTTCAAAGAATGAATGACCTCACTAATAGAACTCCACACTGCTATTATTTTGAACACGCCCCTTTCAATGAGTGATTCAATGACACAGAATCAGCAGCATGCATGTCATGACTGTTGGGTCTGTTGAATTTCTATTACTCTACTACACCTGCTAGGAAATTATTTTCCATGTAGAAATATCATTTCTACCAAAAACAGGGATTGATCCGGTTAGTGATGTCTGACTGCTATTATTTTGAACACAACTGTATATATAATATACTGACTTTTTTGTATGTTAGAAAAAAAAAATCTGAAGAATATATTTAAAAAATATACATATTTAAAAATACCTATTTTTAAAATATATTCTTCAGATTTTTTTAAGCATATAAAAAAGTCATTTTAACATATTTTTACATATATTTGGAAATGCATTCTAAAAATGTACATTTGTATTTTTAAAGACATACAGTACATTTGAAATGTATTTTAAAAAATATTTTTCATATATTTTGTAATAAAAACATATTTCAACATGCAATATATATACCGTACTTTTTTGCTCCATAAGACGCACTTTCCCCCCCCCCCAAAAATGGGGAAAAATGTCAGTACGTCTTATGGACCGAATATGGAGCGGCCGGTCCGGTATTTCCACCGCCGCCACCATGTCAGAACACCAGGCCGGCCGCTCAGCTCTTCTCTCCTGCAGGACCTTACCTGTTCCTCTGTCCAGCGCTGTAGTCTTCCTGTGCCAGCTTCTGTGACAGCCGGGTGCCCACCGCGCATGCGCGAGAAGCGCTGCGCTTTGTAAATGGTCCAGCGACTTCTGGGACACATGACAGGTCCCAGAAGGCGCCGGGCCATTCACAAAGCGCAGCGCTTCTCGCGCATGCGCAGTGGGCACCCGGCTGTCACAGAAGCCGGCGCAGGAAGAAGCCAGCGTGCCCACACTAAAGAAAGGACAACTTCAGGTACCTGCTCCTCTTCCCTCCCCAAAGGTCCGCAGGCTCTTGGTTATCCCCTGTACTGTCTGCAGTCTCTGGTCATCTGTACTATGTCCGCAGTCTCTGGTCCATCTCCTGTACTGCGTCCGCAGTCTCTGGTCCATCTCCTGTACTGCGTCCGCAGTCTCTGGTCCATCTCCTGTACTGCGTCCGCAGACTCTGGCCATCTCCTGTACTGCGTCCGCAGTCGCTGGCCATCTCCTGTACTGCGTCCGCAGTCGCTGGTCATCTCCTGTACTGCGTCCGCAGTCGCTGGTCATCTCCTGTACTGCGTCCGCAGTCGCTGGTCATCTCCTGTACTGCGTCCGCAGTCGCTGGTCATCTCCTGTACTGTGTCCGCAGTCGCTGGTCATCTCCTGTACTGTGTCCGCAGTCGCTGGTCATCTCCTGTACTGCGTCCGCAGTCGCTGGTCATCTCCTGTACTGTGTCCGCAGTCGCTGGTCATCTCCTGTACTATGTCCGCAGTCGCTGGTCATCTCCTGTACTGTGTCCGCAGTCGCTGGTCATCTCCTGTACTGTGTCCGCAGTCTCTGATCATCTCCTGTACTGTGTCCGCAGTCTCTGATCATCTCCTGTACTGTGTCCGCAGTCTCTGATCATCTCCTGTACTGTGTCCGCAGTCTCTGATCTCCTGTACTGTGTCCGCAGTCTCTGATCATCTCCTGTACTGTGTCCGCAGTCGCTGGTCATCTCCTGTACTATGTTCGCAGTCCATTGGTTCAGAATATTTTTTTTCTTGTTTTTCACCTCTAAAACCTAGGTGCGTCTTATGGAGCACGAAATACGGTAAATATATAAAATTTTAATATATTGAATATGGCCAAAATTGTAGTATTTCAAATATATGGCAATATATTTGGGAAGAATATTTTTTAAATATATTTCAAATATATTTGTCTTTCATGTGGGACAGTTTAAACCCTAGGTGCCCATCGGTCCTTAATCATAGGTAACCGCAAATCAACATGCAAAAAGAAAGACACCTAGGGCACCTGTCATTGATTTCTATAGACTACTTCATTGTGTTCGCCACCTCCAGCACTAGTCCTGTGCTCACTGCTTTCAATTGATGTAAACACAAAAGCATGTTTCCTGTGCCAGCTTCTGTGTTAAGAGTGACAGAAAGTAACAGCGAGTCTTAAGTGCATGACAGTACAGCCTCCTGGCAGCCACTTTTCTGCAATGAGGACGGGTAAGTATCAGGAGTAGGTGGAAGAGCTCAGTAGTAGGGGGTGGCAGCAAGGTTGAGGCGGGCTATTTTATTGCATGTCACAAACATTATAAAGATTCCGGGGCTTGTCCCTACTGTTTCCGTCCCCTTCTCCACCCAACAGTATGTGGGGTTGGTCTAGGTCTCCATCCCATGGGGGAAAACCAGTTGTATAGCTTTGCCCTCGAACTTGAACTTGTCCTAGCATTGACGCTGATATTTGTTGCATCATAGCTATGTGAGTCCATATAATTACATTAACAAGATAACAATTTTAGTGATTTGGTTCACATCTACTACACAGGACAAAGCAAGAGCATTGCTTTATTGCTCTCCTCTGCAGCATAAATTTACCTTTCCCCCATTTATTGCAAAGAGCCAAAAAAAAATACCTGGTACTTCTAGATATGAGGGAGCATGTGATATCAAGGAAGAGAAAGTCAGGTTATGCATGACTAACTGTTGAGGTCTGCATTAAAGTGAACCTGTTGCTTTAGCCTACTTGGGCAAAGCACAAATTTACTGTAAGAATTTTTTAAGTCTTTTTGTGATTCTGTAGTTCACTGACTTATTTTATTTTGCTACTATGATTGTGCTTAACAAAAAACAAAACAAAACAAAAAAGAAAAAAAAACAGCCAAGCTTCCCCACATTCACTGAGTCTACTGCGATTATTCCTAGAGTTCTTCTTAAACATACTCACCCTGGTGCGGGTCATGTTGTACTGAATGGTTCGGATCACTACTAAGATGAGTAGACTGCCCAGAGAGATCTCAGTAAGTACACGTTCAGAGTACCAGGAGATGTTCTTCAGTATCTGCAGGTAAAAGGCATTATTACTATATGGAATCCCCATGACATAATCAATACATATTTTACAACAAAAGAGTGGAACTAATAATACCAACACCGAACAATGTATGCAGCACCTGTGGTTCCTGAGCAGGGAAATACACCCAAATATTCAGTTATATGGTTCCTGAGCAGGGAAAAATACACCCAAATATTCAGTTATATGGCCCAAGGCGCCTGTGTACATGAGGCATAAACAAGTAGCTAGCAGGCTTTCAACAAGCTTCAAGAAATGCTACTGAAGCCTGCTGGCAGCTTGTTTAAAGAACTCCAGGTGTGGATATTGTATACATAGTTACACCGGGCCAGCTTGCAGCAGTGTACCTATGTATAGGTTGGTATAGCTTGTAACTGGGATTTTCATTTGCACAAATAAAGGACAGTCAAACTTATTGCACTATGAGGCGCATGTTTTTCTTTCATGATATTATTTGGCATCGTATTGGAGTTCACATATTGGTCTGTGAGGCTCGGGAGATCCTTGATCCAGGCATGGCCATGGAGAATTGGACGATACCCTATATAGCAATGCTGGTTGAGACCCCCTATAATTAAGGGGTCTTTGTTTCTGGTAAGCCTCCATTTATTCCCTCGGTGGTGGTGCACACATTGGCGAATAATCGGGGAAAGTAGGATTCACAACATCAATATTATATTTACAGTATTGGAACACGGCTTTCACTATTGATTGTGGAGCTTTATATCCACACGGAGTTTACTGTGTTTTTGTATGGACTACATGTCACCATTTGTTTTTCATTGATTTGATCACTTTTCATAGGTATATGTGACCTCATAGTGAATATGTATTGATAAGTGGAGTTTGTAAAAATGTTATACAGACTGCAATATTTTATATAACAGGGTTTGTGAGAAGAGAGGATATCCTGGTTAATATTTGCAGCGTTGTATATTTAATTTGTTTTATTTCAGGTACTTATATAGCGCCGTCAATTTACGCAGCACTTTACATATATATTGTACATTCACATCAGTCCCTAACCCTCAAGGGGCGTACAATCTAAGGTCCCTAACTCACATTCATACATACACATACTAGGGACAATTTAGACAGGAGCCAATTCACCTACCAGCATGTCTTTGGAGTATATTAGAGGCATTGGGAATTTGCAGTTTGATCTGTTTCCATTAATACCTTTGTATATACCATACCAGGCCGATGCTCCTGGAAGCTGGAAATCACTGAAGCAGACACCATTACTCCAGTGATCCCCATTTGCTTCCAGGTCCCACATTAAGCAGCTCTCCTGATGCATTCTGAACACAGGAGGTTGGATGTTCAGCATGATCGACATTAACTGGACTCGGTGGAGGGGCGGGACGAAGCTGGTCCAATGTAATGTAACCAAGATAAATATACTAGACCTGGAATTCATCTTTAACGTGAAAGTTAGCATTACTGTGCTTAACCACTCCAAGGTAGAGATAAAATGGTTGCCAGACCATTCTTTAGTTTTACATGCAATTTTGGGGACATCTGTCCAAAAGAAAATGCCAGAATCTTAGGCACAGGGGTCAAATGCCCATGCAGGTTTAAAATAATTATTTCCATAAAACCTCTCCAGAAATTACAGTGACTGATCAGCGCTATTAAAAATAAAAAAAACAAGATATCAATAAGAAAAGGGAAGGCAGTGACGTGGACACACCCCATGAAGGACACTCCTCTTCTGCAATACAGAAGATAAAAGACACGGAACCTGATGCATTACATGATCTTGGATTTAGGGAAGTAAAAATGGGAATGTTGTACTCGCCATAAAATCATTCATTGTAGGACAAAGCCATATCTTCATGACAGATGGGATTGATTGTCACCACCTGCAGGAGCAGAACGCTAGGTACAACCAGAAAAAAAACAAAAACTTGCCCTGGAGATGCCCCTCTCCTGGTGTCCAAACAGCACCCCCATCTGAAACCCACAGCTCAGTTAGTAGTCAGCAGTAATAGGACCCACTCAAGACAAGCAGACAAACTGGGCAGGTGCTGTGTCCTTCATTGAACTGAGAAAAGGATTTTACAGGGAATACTAAAAAAAAAAAAAAAAAAAAAACCCCCATTCATTTAAGGACACAGCCTGTATCTTGAAAATAGATGGGATGCCCTAAAGCAGTGCCAGATTAAAAAGGGTGGGCTCATAACAATTGAGCCAAAAAAACAAGAAACCATATCCCGGCAGAAATCAAACTACCTAGGTTTGTCCTGCAGATGCAGCACCCCCTTTGTCTTCGCCCCCAGCTCATCTCAGAAGCAAGCAGCAGAAAGGACAGAACTCCTCCGCACATCCTGCACATCTCCATGCAGCTGCAGCACCCCCTCTTCTCCGCCTCCCCTGGTCTCAGCATTAAGCAGACTCCCAACACCTGACTCCAGCCCTCCTCTGGTCCTTCTCCAGAACCTGCAGTTCCCGCTGCCCAGCTCTGCCCCCAGCAGCAGCACAGGGAATTTGGGGGGTGATGTAAGGGATTGGGGGGGTGATGTAAGGGAGGGAGTGTGGGGGATTCTACTTCTAACGGTGTGGTGTTCTGGACATCTAGTCTTACAGATACAACAGGCCCTTTGAGGGAAATCATAATTCTGATGTGGCCTGTAATGAAATTGAGTTGAACACCCCTGTCCTAAACGGTAGGTGAAAATCTGAGCTGTGTGTTGCAGATGTGAGATTAGCCACCAGCAGTGGGCTGATCTTCGGGTGTGCTTTTTGTTTTTGACTGCACCTAGCATCTTGCTCCCACAGGTGGTGACATCAAACCCATTCGTCATGAATCAATGAACAAAAGAGAAAAGGACTTTTATTCTTACTTTTATTTTTTTTTTTAATGAGTCAGCGAGGTTAGCTGGGGAAGGGAGATGAGAACATGCTTTAAAATGTCTTTTAAACAATGGTACACATGTAAACAGAAGAGCCTTTTACACTTTCTGAACAATAAATTTCATGAGTTAGCATAAGGCAATAAACATGACCTGATTCTCCCATCCAACATACCGTGTCAAACAGACGCAGATCAATATTATGGAAAAAACACATGGTAGATTGATCTAAATGAAAACAGTAATTCCCGTCTACCGCTTTTCACTCCATAGTAAAAGATCTCATGTTAAATCCAGAACATAAAGGCTGAATGACTTTAAAGGATCATATTTATTTATTGTTCTGAAACATGAGTGAATAAGATCCAGCAGAAAATGTTGGCCAACACTGGAGATGGAGCTGGAATGCTGCCCTCGCCTCTGGAGTCAAGATATCAAAACCGCAGGACACAAAGCCCAACACAGAGCAGAGAAGAGAGGGAGGAGGAAAGCACATGTAAAGTCTATGAGAACTATGTCATCCTGCTAACGGTAATTCTACATTTACTGCCACAGCTTAAAGTGAAACCCAGCTATGGCTAATGGCGAATGTTCGTATTCAGCCTTAGGCAAGCCATCCACATCATATGTGACAAGTAAAGGATTTGTATGCTTGTCCAGATTTACAGATCCCTGCTGGCAGAGCTATTTCTCTGTAAACATTCAGCTGCAGAGAGGAGCTCTGCTCTGTATGCAGAAGCAGTGACCTCTCTGCAGAGGTCTAACATGCTCGAGCTAAGCAATCTGTATCCTCTCCAAGTGCCATCAATTCCTCCCTCCCCAACGTTCTCCTCTACCCTGTTCTGCTGGTGTTTACCAGGTCAAACTCACTTCTCCTGAGCCCAGGCTACCATGGGCTCCCCCTCCCCCCTCATCATTATGCAGTCTGGTCTCACAGTACTCCAAGATGGAGAAGGGCATATATATATTTATGTGAGCACCACTCAGCTCACAAGAAAGGAATACCCACTGCTCCAACTGATGCCGATAATGAAGATAAATAAGGGCCCTTGACCACACCAGAATGGCCCGAAGACTACAGGAAAAAAGGCATGTAAAGAGGGGGACTTTAGAGAAGGAAGGAGGGTGGGGATGTTGAAAGCTGGAATTCAAGTTTAAGTAGCACTGTGCCTCCAGTGATGTCCGTCCCAGACTCCCTAACCTGCAGCGGCTGCTCTTCCGTGTTGAATGACATCCATCATCATTCATAGGAGCTCAGAACAATATGGAAACACATCTGGGGATGGTTGCAACATCAAACCAATATGGACTGTAGACAATACAGTAATTGCACATCAGTACAAAAAAGGAGAAGGATGCTACATGACCATCAAGAAGCCAAATGGTAAAAGTACCTGTTACACTTATCGGTAATGGTATTTCTGGAAAAATTTCCAGGATGGCACACCTGAGAAGACTAGCTCCACCTGACAGGAAACACAATCAACAATTGAGTTTAAATTCCACACTCTTCCCTCCACTCCTCAGTTATATAAGTATTCCGGCTCCCTGGTGCACGAAAGGTACTCTGTCTTGAAATAACCAACACTAGACACCGGCGGGAAGTAGGCCTGCCATTCTGGAAGATTTCAGAAATACCATTACCAGTAAGTGTAACAGGTACTTTTCTCTAGTCATCATCCAGGATGGCACACCTGAGACGATAAGCAAGGAACTCAGGCCTACCTTAAGGCAGGACCACTGCCTATACTACATGCCTCAGGTCCTGAGGTGACAAATCTACCCTGCAGTGTCTCACGAAGGTGTCTTGGCTTGTCCATGTGGCTGCTCGGCAGATCTGCTCAATCAATGCTCTGGCACTTTCTGCTCAAGAGGTCGCTAGCGCTTGAGTACAGTGTACCTTCCGGTGCGAGGGCATTGAAACTCCTAACTGCTCATAAGGTAAGGAGATTGCTTGTCTGATCCATCTAGCTATTGATGGCTTAGATGCCTGCTGTCCCTACCTTGGACCATTAAACAGAATCAGAAGGTGACTCGACTTCCTGAAGCAACTTATTCTATTAAAATATGTCAGTAAACACAGCCTGACTTCTAAAAAATGAAAACTTTTTTCCTCTTCATTCTTAAGGTTTT